TCCTGAATAACACTCTAGGTGCACTTGACAAGAATATATATTCTGTTGTTGTTGGATGGAGTGTTTCATAGATGTCTTTTGGATCTAGTTGGTTCATAGTGTTGTTCAAGTCTTCCATTTCTTTGTTTTCCTTTTGTCTAGTTGTTCTACCCATTACTGAAAGTAGGGTGCTGGAATCTCCAACTATTATTTTTGAATTGTCTATTTTGAGTTTTTTCTTTAATGGTTGCTCTAGGGTTTACCACATACATTTTAAGTTCAGCTTTGGCTTTATACTTGGCTTAATTCCAGTGATATGTAGAAACATTACTCCCATATACTTCTATTCCATTTTCCCTCTTTTGGTGGTAGTAATGTTTTACCTGTTTTATAAATTAATGTTACAAATCCAACAATACATTATTATAGTTACTTTAACATCTGTAGTCATTTCCTTAGCCCATTATAACTTTGTTCTCATCCATCTCCCTTGTGCTGTTACTGGCAAATATATTATACTTCTATAGGCTGTGGGCTCAATAATACATTATATACATATTATTTAGACATCACTTGTTAAAATCAGTTAAGGAAAGAAAGGAGAAAAAATATGCATTTATATGGTCTTTTACAATTACATATATATTTATGAGTGCTCTCTGTTTTTTTCATGTGGATCTGAATTATCTTTTGGGTCATTTGCTTTCAGTCTGAATATTCTGCTTTAGTATTTCTTGTCAGGTGGGTCTGCTAGCAACAAATTCAGTTTTTGTTTATCTGGGAAAGGTTTTATTCCATCTTAATTTTTGAAAGACAGCTCTGCTAGATATAGATTATAGATACAGATTCCTTCTGTATTATATAGATATTCAAGGTCAGAACACAGTGGGATAACATATTCAGAGTGCTCAAAGAAAAACACTCAACCAGGACAAATTGTCCTACAAACCAGCCCAATCAAATCATGGCTTCTTTAAAGGTCAGTGTTTGATATTTGTTCTGACTCATGAAGGCTCCTCCCAGCTGTAGCATTCTCCCATTCTCTCTACTATTCTTGAGAGGACCCTTAGCCTTGAACTTCTCCAGGCTCTGTTGTAAATGAAGTCAGTTCCTTTGGGAAGAGATTAGGGGCTGTTTTATAGCTTTCTCTACCCCTCCCCCCACCGCGGGCAAAATCTCTGAGCCAGACTCTGGAGCTAGGAGTGTGGATAACAGCAAGCTTCTCTTGAGTGATCCCCTCCCTCCCCGGCTCTAGGAGTTGGTGGCAGTGAGGGGATACATGGCCTTGCTGTCCTGGCATGGAACCACCACCTCTCAAGTCAGGGCAAGGGTGATCAGAGCCTCAATATTCTCAGTGCACCACATCAAAGACCCCATTTCATGATGGGATCCTGGGCAGAATAAGGGAGTCCCTATCTCTTACCTGCGCTTGCCCAGGGCTTAGTTCTTTAAAATTTATTTTCTATCTTAAAAAATTTTTTTTAAATGTTTATTTATTTTTGAGACCGCACACGCGCAAGTGGGGAGGGGCAGAGGGAGAGGGAGACACAGAATTCGAAGCAGGCTCCAGGTTCTGAGCTGCCAGCACAGAGGTTGACTCAGGACTCCCAACTCATGAACTGTGAGATTGTGACCTGAAGTCAGACACTTAACCAACTGAGCCACCCAGGTGCCCTTACTTTCTACCTTTTTATGCTAATGTTTAAGAATGCAATTAGGAGCACCTGGGTGGCTCAGTTGGTTAAGCATCTGACTGATTTTGGCTGAGGTCACGATCTCATGGTTTGTGAGATGGAGCCCCACGTTGCGATTTTCTCTCTCTCAAAATAAATAAATAAACTTAAGAAAAAAAAGTCTAGTTCTATATTTAAAACAAAAAGAATGTAATTTAAAAAAATCTTATTTTGTATGCAGCATCTTTGCTAAAATGTACTGGTTTTATTTTTTTAGGTTTATTTTTTATTTTGAAAGAGAGAGTGTGCATGCGAGTTGGGAAGTGTAGAGAGAGAGGGAGAGAGAAAATCCCAAGCAGGCCCTGCACTGCTGGCATGGAGCCCAATGTGGGGCTTGCACCCATGAACTGTGAGATCATGACCTGAGCCGAAATCAAGAGTTGGATGCCTGACTGACGGAGCTACCTAGGCACCCTGAAACTGTATGAGTTTTAATAATTTGACTATAGAGTCTCTTGAATTTCTATGTAACTACTTATATTGTTTGAGATTAATGATGACTTTGTTTCTTTTTATCCATCCCATATACTTTTTATTTCTTTTGCATTTCCTTCTGTGTAATCTAGGGTTCCAATACAATATTAAAGAAAATTAGTTTTTTTGATTAAAAAAAATTTTTTTTGCATTTACTCATTTTTGAGAGACAGAGCACAAGTGGGGGAGGGGCAGAGAGAGAGGGAGACACAGAATCCGAAGCAGGCTCCAGGCTCTGAGCTATCAGCACCCAGCCCGAGGTGGGGCTTGAACTCACAAACCATGAGCCGAAGTTGGACGCTCAACCAACTGTGCCACCCAGGCGCCCCAAGAAAATTAGTTTTGGTAGGCATCTTTTTCTTATTCTGATTTTAAAGGAAATGCTTCAAATATTTCATCTTCAGTAATATTTGCACTAGGTTTATAATGTATAATTTAATCAGGCCATAGAAATTTCCTTGCATTTGTAGTTTATTAGGAATTCATCTCATGAACAATCATATTAGCTAACACTACTGAGTGCCTTCAAGGTGTCCAACATTGTCCTAAGCACTTCACATAGATTAGCCTATTACATGTTCATAATATATCTTTCAGGTTATTATTATTCCTATTTCACCATGAGTAAACAAGTACATTGAAGTTAAATAATCTGTCCAAGTTCAGGAGTAGGACTAGAATTTGAACCCAGAAGTCCGGTTTAAGAGCCTGGGGTCTTAATTACTTTTCTCTATAAGTTTCTTTATATTGCATTCTGAGTACTGAATTTTCTCAATTGCTTTTTCTGCATCTGATTTGACCAAACGGTTTTTCAACTAATTTGTTAACGTGGCAAACTACATTGATAAATGCTTGAACTGTTAAATCTTCTTTGAATTCCTAAGGTAAATTCAACTTTGTCACAGCTTTAAAAAATACACTGATGAATATAATTTGCTAATATTTCATTTAGGATTTTTACATATATGTTCAAAAGTGAGACTGACTCAAATTTTCCTTTTTTGCACTGGTTTTGGTACCCAAGTTAGGGGCATGCATTTGGTGATATTTCACCCTTCATTATCAGGTTGAAAAATATAGTTAGCATTAACAGCTAGCCCAATAGTTTAGACTCCTAGACTATTCAGTGAGGTTCCTGACATCCAAGCAAATGCTAATAAGCAGTGGACAGAAATGTCCAGGGGCATCTGAGCCATTTATTATTGAATGGTGGTCCAGGATGGCCAAAAGTGGCAAAAGAGCCTAATGTATTCCGTCCCCAAAAGTATGAAGGGGGTTGATCCTTAATCTAGTTTAAATATTGATGGCTGTGTTTTATTCAACCATATACACAGCCAAATAGAAAAAAAGTAGGAATCCTTTTAGTAAGTGCTTTATTTACAAAATATCTTTTATCTCACTGAATTTACCCAGTACTCTTTAAGAGCCATATTATTTGCATCTTACAGATTAACCTCTATTTTATAGATTAGTTAGTTAAGTGAAGATTACTTGACTAAGGTAATCAGCAGGTGAAATTAGTTACAAATTCAAATCTGTTTTTCTTTACTTCAGTTACATCAAGAAAGTATATCTTTTAGGAGAGACTGTAGCTCCTAGAGTGACAATGATTAGTATCTCACTTGTCACTGAGAGTACTGAGAATGAAAGAATGAATTTTCAAAGGTGGACTGGAGAAGGCTCCATTTCTGTTGACGGTATAGAAATGCTCTATTTACTATGAATGTTCCCACAGGATTTTAATATACCTCCAACTGTGGAGGTTATTAATCTGTTTCTAAACAAAAAATTACTGTGTCTCTGCTAGTGCTAGACACTTTCCTTTTAAATTTATTTTTATTTTAAAGTATAATTAACATACAGTGTTATATTAGTTTCAGATATATAATATAATGATTCAACAATACTATATATTTCTCAGTGTTCACCAAGATTAAGTACAGTCTTAATCTTAATCCCCTTCATTCATTTCACCCACCCACCCCCACCCACCTCCCCTCTGGCAACCACCCGTTTGTTCTCTGTATTTAAGAGTCTCTTTTTTCCTTTGTTCATTTGTTTTGTTTCTTAAATTCTTTTTTTTTTTAATTTTTTTTTTAATACTTATTTATTATTGAGACAGAGAGAGACAGAGCATGAACATGGGAGGGGCAGAGAGAGAGGGAGACACAGAATCTGAAACAGAATCCAGGCTCTGAGCTGTCAGCACAGAGCCAAACGCGGGGCTCGAACTCACGGACCATGAGATCACGACCTGAGCCGAAGTCGGCCGCTTAACCGACTGAGCCACCCAGGCGCCCCTGTTTCTTAAATTCTTAAACGAGTGAAATAATCTAGTATTTGTCTTTCTCTGACTGATTTATTTCACTTAGCATAATACCCTCTGGGTTCACCCATGTTGTTGCAAAGGGCAGGATCTCATTCTTTTTTTGTGGCTAATATTTCTGTGTGTGTGTGTGTGTGTACACATATATATACACATACACATCACATCTTCTTTATCCATTCATCTATAGTGGACACTTGGGTTGCTTCTGTATCTTGGCTATTGTAAATAATGCTGCAGTCCACATGGGGTGCATATTTTTTAGTTAGTGCTTTTGTTTTCTTTGGGTAAGTATATAGTAGTGGAATTACTGGATCACATGGTAATTCTAGTTTTAATCTTTTGAGGAACCTCCACATTGTTTTCCACACTGGCTGTACCAACTGTCCAGGCCTTTTTCCAAGCACTACACAGGTTTGGACAAAGTTGAAATAAACAAATAAAGAAAACTTCCAAATATGGTTATTAATAAGTTAGAGACATCTTACCATAATGTAGAGCTGTTTGACCTTCATTGTCCTGTAAAAGAAACAAATAACACATTTTAGAAGTCTAAGTTATTGCAGAAGTATGGAAGTACACAAGCTATAGCAAATATATCTGATATACCAAAGTTCTAAAGGTTTATCAAATACAGTTCTTCTTGCCTCACAGTAACTTTTGGCCAAGCTCTACCTGGGAGAATAGGAGAGTGTTGAATGGTAACTTGTGTACTCAAGTAGCTACAGCAGAGTCACAGGATAACCAGATTGCAGATATTAACAAAAAGGGAACCTCTTAGAATGTGGCAGTTTGATTACCCAATTAGTGGCAAAAACCCTCTGATGCTGTGTATCATTGATCTCAGCTAGTATTATAATGTTTTTTTAGTTTATCACCAAATATATCTGAGACATCTGTGATTTCTCAAAAATTAGTAGCTTTTCAATCCCCTTTCAAATATTCATAAATTCTAGATTCAAATATTAGGTTTCCTAACCAGAGCAAATACCATAAAGAAATGTGATTTCAGGGGTGCCTAGGTGGCTCAGTCACTTAAGCGTCTGACTCTTGATTTCGGCTCAGGTTATGATCTCACAGTTTGTGAGATTGAAACCCATGCTGGGCTCGTGGAGCCTGCTTGGGATTCTCTCTCTCCAAATATATAAACTTGAAAAAATAAATAAATAAAAAGAAATGTGATTTCAAAGCACACAAAGTCCTAGAAGTTATTAAGTTTGGAGTTCCCATAGATAACTCCAATAGTTGATTTAATTTTTTTTATTCTTTTAAAACCAAGATATTCTAACTATATATACTAATTTTAGCACAGGTAAGTGCTTTTTAGCAACACTGCCTTTTTTTTTAACATTTATTTTTGAGAGATAGCGCGTGCGTGCTTATGGGTGGGGAAGAGGCAGAGAGAGAGGGAGACAGAATCCCAAGCAGGCTCCATGCCATCAGTACAGAGCCCAATATGGGACTCGAACCCTGGAACCATGAGAGCATGACTTGAGCCAAAGTCAAGAGCCAGATGCTCAACTGACTGAGCCATCCAGGCACCCCAGCAATACTGCCTCTTATTAAGTTGAGAGTAGGTGATGATATTAATGAACAACAAATAAATCAGGATTAAGTACAAGTGAAAGCAGAATTTAGTAATTAATTTGATATTGACTTAGTAATATGCATGGCCCTATTGTGCCCTGATAATTAAGAATAAATGCTTAGGGGCACGTGGGTGGCTGAGTTGGTTATGTGTCTGCTCAGGTCATGATCTCACGGTTCGCTAGTTCAAGCCCTACATCATGCTGGAGAGGAGCCTGCTTAGGATTCTCTCTCTCCCTCACTCTCTGCCCCTCCCCTGCTTGCTTGCATTCTTTCTCTCTCTCTCAAAAGTGAAAAAGTATAATAAAATTAAAAAAAAGCTTAATTGTTGTGAATAACTAGGAGAGGGTGATATTATGACCTAATCAACTATTCTAGGGTACATCGTATCTACATTTCCCACTTCTTAAAAGTTGAATGTGGGGATTGATTCCCAGAACTTTTTGGCTATGGTTCTACTTAATCCCCTAGGAAGGAAAGCAAAAAGCTGTCACAGGAAAGTTCTTTACTGGTTCAGATAAATAGTGAAAAAGTCACTCCTTAAGGGCTTTTTAACACCTAGAGAAGGTTTACAGGGGTGACTTCTGGTGGGGGTAGGGAGACAACTTTAAGGCAATATAGTTCAAAAACATTTTTTTTCTTAAGTTTATTTTGGAGAGAGATAGAGAGTGCAGGGAAGCGGCAAAGAGAGAGGGAGACAAAGAATCCGAAGCAGGCTCCAGGCTCTGAGCTGTCAGCACGGAGCCTGACGTGGGGCTGAACCCACGAACTGTGAGATCATGACCTGAGCCGAAGTGGGATGCTTAACCAACTAAGCCCCCCAGGTGCCCTGCAATATAGTTTAATTAAACAGTTTTCCTACCAGAGAATGGGAATTCTTGTTGGATTTGGGAGTGAGATGTGAGAAGTGAGTGGAGATATGAAAGAAGTAATTTTGAGGGCCTCTGGGAGTAGGGTAGACTTGGCTGAAGTGTAACAGTGGATGCTCATTGAGCAACATAAGGATAATAAATTCTAAGGGAAGTGAAAGATGGAAAGCAGCACTAAGAAGTCAGGGAGATAACAGAACATTTTTGCCTCCTTAAAAAATTTTTTTAATTGAAGTATAGCTGACACAATTATATTAATCGCATGTATACTACACAGTGATTCAACAATTATATACATTACAAAATGCCTACTTCTTTCTTGTCTTTTCCAATATAGCCCCTACCTTGCTCCCTGCTCCCCTTTGCCTTGCCCTGCTCTTGAGGTTAAGGACAGGTAAGGGAAGAGAGCGAAGGCAGCTACAGTTAACAGGGTCCAAGTGATGCTGATGGGTGATCAGTATGACAATGGGAAGTTGTGCTCCAGAGTGTTCTGAATTGCCTGGCTACCACCAAAGGCATTTAGAAAGAACTGAACTGCCCATTACAGCTTTAGACTCACATCTACTTTGCCCACTTCCAATGTTAATCAGTAAAAGAGTGTGTGTGTGTGTGTGTGTGTTTACGCATTCACACGCATGTATGTGATGAGTTTATACGTTCGTTTATTCATTTATGGTTTAAATGTCCAGTAATAGAAAAACAATTTCAGAAAGGGCTTAATCTATTATAATTTTGGACTTATGCATCCATCATGCAAGGTTATTATTTTCCACAATTATCTATCTTTAGAAAGTGTAGTTCTCTTGCTATTTGTGCATAACTTTCTTAATCACCCTATTCATATATACTAAAGGCTAGTTTCTTTTAATTTCTAATTGGTTATCTTCACTAGGGAGGTGGAAACCATTTCTTTCAATCACTTTTACCAATGAATACTAAATGTGTATCTTCAGCCCAATTTCCAGTTAATTAAAAATATTTATCGAGCTCCTATTATGTCCCAGTCACTGTTCTAGGGACTAGAAACACGGAGATGAGCAAGACAGACAAGGTCCTTCATGTTATAAATCTTATATTCTACTGCCAGGAAAAGTAATAAGCAAGTAAGTATATTTAATAACAGGCAGAGATAAGTGCTCTGAAAAGATAAAGCAGAATAAGAATCTAGAGTGATGTGGGGTGCTGTTTTAGATAGAGAGGACAAAAAAAGGCTCTATGAAAAGGTATGTTTACACAAAGAACTGGGGAAGATGCGAGGGTAACCAAAGCTGAACAAACCATAGCACTCATCATCCTCCTGGTCTGAAAAGCTAAGCCAAACCTATCCTATTTTTTCTCTCAGGATTTTAAAATATGGAACTAGGCGATGGAAGTATGTGTATAGAGAAGATCCTTTCCTCTCCAAGCAAAAGAAAATGGTGTAGTGAAATGAGACAGACACAAAAGGACAAATACTGTATTATTTCATTTACACGAAGTACTCAGAGTAGCCAAATTCAATGGGACAGAAAAACAGAATAGTGGACACCAGGGGCTCAGGGAAGGAAGGAATGAGGAGTTATTGTTTAATGGGTACAGAGTTTCAATCTGCGATGGTGAAAAAGTTCTGGAGGTGGATGGTGGTGGTGGCTGCACGACAGTGTGAATGTGCTTAATGCCACTGAACTGTACACTTAAAAATGGTTATAACAGTTAATTTTATGTTGTATTTTACCAAAATATAAATAAAAGAAAGTTTTAAAGAAGCAACAGCAGAAGCTGTGAACCCAAACTGCAAGTGGCGACATTCTTCACTTCTTGGAGAAAACTTCTTCAGTAGGAAAAAAGTGAGTAAGTATTCACAGAGAGAAGTAGTGGTCAGAGATGGAGAGAAAATGAGTCTCTGAAATTCTGTTTCTTAGCTGTGTGTGTTTGGGCCCTTGGAGAATTACCTTGCTTTTTTTTTTTTTTTTTTTTTTTTTTTTTTTAAAGCTCTGCTCTGCATTCAGAGGGATGCTTATTGTATTTTTTGCTGCACTGCTGGGTGTTTTACAGTGGGAAAATTTTTCAGATTATTTAGTCTGGAATCTGGGGGAAAAGGAAATCCCTTAACCTTTAAGACTCAGTTCACTTTCTTCAGGAAACCTCCCCAACTCCTCTTTTTCTACCACTGGGCAGATCATACACACTTACCTGTCTCTTCCACTAAGACTGTAAACTTCTTGCAGACAAGTGCTATGTCTTTTACCCAGTGCCCATCACAGTATCTTGCATATAGTGTATGCTCAATAAATGTTCTTGAAATGGGGGAATGAATACATTAATCTTTCCTCATTGGTTTATTCTTTAATTTCTTGATGTACCTTTTTTCTTTTACCTGAATTAAAAACAAATGTTCCCACATAATTCCTATAGTATGGAATATAATACCAGATAAAGTAATGTAATGAGGGACTAAACAATGATGAACAGGAGACTGAGTTTATAGTTAACTAAGGGCTAAATGATTACTATATTCAGTTTGACTTCCAGATTCCTTTTCTTCTATAGGGTCACACGACAAACTGGCCCCTCATGAATTTATACAGATTATTTCTCTCCCCACATGTATTCTGCACTTATCCTTTCTTACTTTGTTTTAATCACGTCTCCATTTTATTAGTAATTATTTCTTTAAGAACTTAGTTTTCTTCTATCTCCAGACTGGGCACTCTATCAAATATAAGAAACAGATTTAATTTTACCAAATGAAGTATTGATGAAAATATTAAATATTTTGCTTAGAACTGATATATAGGAAACTTTATTTTATCCCTTTAACATTAAACCACTGATAACATTACTATTTCCTGTGCATAAAACTCTGTGGCCAAGTCCTGAGTTTTTCCCTACTGCTAGAAGCATTTTATCAAACTGAATCAAGAGCCACATTTCTAAGTCAAGATACACATATTTTATAGCTAACATCATATCCAATGGTGAAAAACTGAGAATTTTTCTTCTAAGATCAGGAATAAGACAAGGATGTCCACTCCCACCATGTTATTCAACTTAATACTAGAAGTCCTAGCTGTAGCAATGAGG